GAGGCTTTAGGAAAGGTAGGGGTGTGTGGACCGGGTTTGTTTACAGTGAAACATATAAGTGAACCCAGTATTTAGATAAGGCAAAGAGGTCTTTGTGGCATTTATGGTTGGAAAAAAGGCGTATGACAGGGTGGATAGGGGGGCAATGTGGCAGATGTTGCAGGTGTATGGTGTAGGAGGTAGGTTACTGAAAGCATTGAAGAGTTTTTACGAGGATAGTGAGGCTCAATTTTAGAGTACATAGGAAAGAGGAAATTTTTCCCAGTAAAAGTAGGCCTTAGACAAGGTGTGTGATATCACCTTGGTTTTTTTAATATTTTTATAGATGGGGTTGTAAGAGAAGTAAATGCGAGGGTTTTTGAAAAGGGAGGCGTGGAGTTAAAAGATAAAGAATTACACAAAAAGTGGGATTTTGTCACATTTTGCTCTTTGCTGATGACACTGTGCTCTTGGGAGATTCTGAACAAAGTTGCAGAGATTGGTGGATGAATTTTGGTAATGTGTTGCAAAAGAAAAAAATTAAAAGTGAATACAGGAAGAGTAAGGTTATGAGGATAACAAAAAGGATTAGGTGATGAAAGATTGGATATCAGATTGGAGGAAGAGTATGGAGGAGGTGAATGTATTCAGATATTTGGGAGTGACGTGTCAGGGATGGTCTATGAAGGATGAGTGAATCATAAATTGATGAGGGGAAAGGGTGAGTGGTGCACTTAAGAGTCGTGGAAACAAAGAACTTTGTCCTTGGAGGCAAGAGGGGAATGTATGAGAGTATAGTTTTCCCAAACGCTCTTATATGGGTGTGAAGCATGGGTGATGAATGTTGCAACGAGGAGAAGGCTGGAGGCAGTGGAGATGTCATGTCTGAGAGCAATGTTGGTGTGAATATAATGCAGAGAATTCGTAGTTTGGAATTTTAGGAGGAGGTGCGGGATTACCAAAACTGTTGTCCAGAGGGCTGAGGAAGGGTTGTTGAGGTGGTTTCGGACATGTAGAGAGAATGGAGCGAAACAGAATGACTTCAAGAGTGTATCAAGTCTGTAGTGGAAGGAAGGCGGGGTAGGGGTCGGCCTAGGAAAGGTTTGGAGGGGGGGGGTAAAAAGGAGGTTTTGTGTGCGAGGGGCTTGGACTTCCAGCAGGCATGCGTGAGCGTTGTTTGATAGGAGTGAATGGAACGAATGGTTTTTAATACTTGACGTGCTGTTGGAGTGTGAGCAAAGAAACATTTATGAAGGGGTTCAGGGAAACCGGCAGGCCGGCTTGAGTCCTGGAGATGGGAAGTACAGTGCCTTCCCACTCTGAAGGAGGGGTGTTAATGTTGCAGTTTAAAAACTGTAGTGTAAAGCACCCTTCTGACAAGACAGTGATGGAGTGAATGATGGTGAAAGTTTTTCTTTCTCGGGCCACCCTGCCTTGGTGGGAATCGGGCCAGTGTCATAGATGAGGGAAAAATCCAAAATTTATGAAATAGGTAATGATTTAAAATACCCAAGAAATGTAATTGATAAATCTTTTAAAGTTGCTAGAAGTACTTTTTACAATCCAAAAGGGACAACCAGCCTTATTCAACTAAAAACATGTTGGTTCTCCCTTACCATGAAAACTTGGTTTTATATGCCTTCTCTTCTTTAGACTTTTAATATTAAAGTTGTATTCAAAAATTTTTGAAAACAGTAAAAAAACTTTTGATAAAAAATTCCCCCCCAAAATGCTGATGGATATGTCTATAAGATTCCTTTTAAAATTTGCGATAAAATTTATTACGGTCAAACTGGTAAAAAAACTCGAACTAAGATTAAAACAAAAATAAATATAGCATTAGAACTGGACAAGATTCCAATGCTCTATTTATTCATGTAAGAGATTTTAACCACCAATTGATTTTCAAAAAATTGAGAAAGTAGTATCAAGCAAGTCCATGGTCGACAGGAATATAATTGAATCTTGTTTCATAAAAAGCAGTTTTGACAATAATATGAATATTTCCTTTGGGTTTTTATAAATTAGATCCATTTATAATTAATAGAATTTGGTTAGAATTTAATAATACACTGGACAAATAATTTTTAAATTTTCTTGGGTAGAAATATTTGTGGGGTGAGTTGTGCAAAGGACCTATCCAAATTTGGGTCGGCGCGCGTCAGGTTTTAAACCGTTGTGGGGTCTATAGTGAGGTGCTGGCCAGACCCCTTATATAGCTTCCTTGGATGCTTTACTTTCATAGTTCCTTGATGATGTGAGTAGTCACGAAAGCGCTTGGAATTTCTCTATTCTTTCAGAGTGGTTGTTTTGCATATTCTGAAATCACCTGTTTACTGTTATCTTATTGCATATATATATTATATATATATATATATATATATTATATTATATATATATATATATATATATATATATAATATATATATATATATATATATATATTTATATATATATATTGTATATATATATATATATATATATATATATATATATGTATATATATATATATGTATATATATATATATATATATATATATATATAATATATATATATATATATATACATATTATACATATATATATATATATATACATATATACCCTATATATATATATATATATATATATATATATATATATATATATATATATATTAATATATATATATATATATATATAATATATATATATGCAAGACAAGCCACAGGGGATAGAAATCTTCAGCTATGAGATATAAAGGAAACTTTTCTCAGAGTATGGTAGTGAGAGTGACACCACCCGCCAGCACCTCACTCTGAGAGACGTGCTGGTGGGTAGCACCTCACTCTGAGAGACGTGCTGGTGGGTAGCACCTCACTCTGAGAGACGTGCTGGTGGGTAGCACCTCACTCTGAGAGACGTGCTGGTGGGTAGCACCTCACTCTGAGAGACGTGCTGGTGGGTAGCACCTCACTCTGAGAGACGTGCTGGTGGGTAGCACCTCACTCTGAGAGACGTGCTGGTGGGTAGCACCTCACTCTGAGAGACGTGCTGGTGGGTAGCACCTCACTCTGAGAGACGTGCTGGTGGGTAGCACCTCACTCTGAGAGACGTGCTGGTGGGTAGCACCTCACTCTGAGAGACGTGCTGGTGGGTAGCACCTCACTCTGAGAGACGTGCTGGTGGGTAGCACCTCACTCTGAGAGACGTGCTGGTGGGTAGCACCTCACTCTGAGAGACGTGCTGGTGGGTAGCACCTCACTCTGAGAGACGTGCTGGTGGGTAGCACCTCACTCTGAGAGACGTGCTGGTGGGTAGCACCTCACTCTGAGAGACGTGCTGGTGGGTAGCACCTCACTCTGAGAGACGTGCTGTTGGGTAGCACCTCACTCTGAGAGACGTGCTGGTGGGTAGCACCTCACTCTGAGAGACGTGCTGGTGGGTAGCACCTCACTCTGAGAGACGTGCTGGTGGGTAGCACCTCACTCTGAGAGACGTGCTGGTGGGTAGCACCTCACTCTGAGAGACGTGCTGGTGGGTAGCACCTCACTCTGAGAGACGTGCTGGTGGGTAGCACCTCACTCTGAGAGACGTGCTGGTGGGTAGCACCTCACTCTGAGAGACGTGCTGGTGGGTAGCACCTCACTCTGAGAGACGTGCTGGTGGGTAGCACCTCACTCTGAGAGACGTGCTGGTGGGTAGCACCTCACTCTGAGAGACGTGCTGGTGGGTAGCACCTCACTCTGAGAGACGTGCTGGTGGGTAGCACCTCACTCTGAGAGACGTGCTGGTGGGTAGCACCTCACTCTGAGAGACGTGCTGGTGGGTAGCACCTCACTCTGAGAGACGTGCTGGTGGGTAGCACCTCACTCTGAGAGACGTGCTGGTGGGTAGCACCTCACTCTGAGAGACGTGCTGGTGGGTAGCACCTCACTCTGAGAGACGTGCTGGTGGGTAGCACCTCACTCTGAGAGACGTGCTGGTGGGTAGCACCTCACTCTGAGAGACGTGCTGGTGGGTAGCACCTCACTCTGAGAGACGTGCTGGTGGGTAGCACCTCACTCTGAGAGACGTGCTGGTGGGTAGCACCTCACTCTGAGAGACGTGCTGGTGGGTAGCACCTCACTCTGAGAGACGTGCTGGTGGGTAGCACCTCACTCTGAGAGACGTGCTGGTGGGTAGCACCTCACTCTGAGAGACGTGCTGTGGGTAGCACCTCACTCTGAGAGACGTGCTGGTGGGTAGCACCTCACTCTGAGAGACGTGCTGGTGGGTTAGCACCTCACTCTGAGAGACGTGCTGGTGGGTAGCACCTCACTCTGAGAGACGTGCTGGTGGGTAGCACCTCACTCTGAGAGACGTGCTGGTGGGTAGCACCTCACTCTGAGAGACGTGCTGGTGGGTAGCACCTCACTTGAGAGACGTGCTGGTGGGTAGCACCTCACTCTGAGAGACGTGCTGGTGGGTAGCACCTCACTCTGAGAGACGTGCTGGTGGGTAGCACCTCACTCTGAGAGACGTGCTGGTGGGTAGCACTTCACTCTGAGAGACGTGCTGGTGGGTAGCACCTCACTCTGAGAGACGTGCTGGTGGGTAGCACCTCACTCTGAGAGACGTGCTGGTGGGTAGCACCTCACTCTGAGAGACGTGCTGGTGGGTAGCACCTCACTCTGAGAGACGTGCTGGTGGGTAGCACCTCACTCTGAGAGACGTGCTGATGGGTAGCACCTCACTCTGAGAGACGTGCTGGTGGGTAGCACCTCACTCTGAGAGACGTACTGGTGGGTAGCACCTCACTCTGAGAGACGTGCTGGTGGGTAGCACCTCACTCTGAGAGACGTGCTGATGGGTAGCACCTCACTCTGAGAGACGTGGTGGTGGGTAGCACCTTACTCTGAGAGACGTACTGGTGGGTAGCACCTCACTCTGAGAGACGTGCTGGTGGGTAGCACCTCACTCTGAGAGATGCACACCATATCACCAGGAGTTAAAATTTAATTCAGAAAAATTCCTTCTTAATTGTTGTAATTTTTTTTTAGGATTTGTGTGCGTATCTTTATTGCACCAATGGTGTGGTGACCAAGCCAGCCCATCCTGCACTTGAGGGATCTTTCTGTGGCTCACACAGGGTTTGTATTGCTGGCAAGTGTCGCCCTGAGGATGAGTTGGCTAATCTTACTCTTTATAATGAGCCAAACATTCCCCACTCCTCAGGTGAGTCAACTTACACTTTAATGGACACTTGTAATCATGCTTAAATGTTAATGTTGAAGAAAGTGAGAAAAATACATGTAGTATCTTCAATCACTTTAGACACTTATTTGGAAAAGCTTCATTCATAGAATCTTGATCACTTATGTGATACAAAATATAACAAAAACGCAGTATTTAATTCCAAGATGCATGTGAGGGAAGTGGCAGGTGACAGTGTCAGGGGCGAAGGTACTGTCATGATCGAGGCGTGGCTGACCAATAGGAAGCAGAGAGTTTACATAATTTGAGTGAAAATCAGAGTGGAGATCAGTCACAAGCGGCGATCCACCACAGTCAGGTTTAGGCCCATTAATGATCTTGACGAAGGAATAGCAAGTGGTCAGTCCCTCAGCCTGGAGAAGAAATCTGCTTCATAATCTGGAACAATGTGAAGCTGAAACATCAGAATGGAGACTTATATAATGGCACGGGCGAAGCTGACAAAATCATCAAGACGAAAGAAGCTGATTCTTTAGCTTCACATTGTTCCAGATTATGAAGCCGAACTCATCTCTAGGCTGAGGGACTGACTACCTCAAAACTACTTCGAGAGTGATGGACTGATTACATCGTCTACACATTTCCACTGCTTCTGGTGTCTTTTTCGTATTCCACTGCAGAAGCCTATTGTGTACGTGAAACGTTTTGGAATGAGGATACCTAACTGTTGCACATACGCCTTAATTAACAACTAGCAGGTACTGTCTAGCATTATATTCACATCCATAGATCTTGCTGCTTGTCATATATGAACAGGATATTGTCCATTCTGGAGACCGCTGTAACATTATGTTGAGAGGAACTGCTAAAACCCAACCAAGCTCACCATAATTGTACTACTACTACTACACTACTACTACTACTACTACTACTAACACCATCTCGCATCCTACCACCTGAATCCTACCACTATATTTACTCTTTGTTAGTAAATTTTGGACTAAAAAAGTCACTCGGGGAGAAACGGTTCCTTTAATGAATGTCCTCAACTGTACATAATAATGGTTTTCTTCTCGGTATAACTATATCACTTATTATATATCGCTGGTATACAATACCGTCAAAATTAAGAATTAGACACATATGCAACGTCTGGGTATCTTTACTCTATAGACGTTATAATGTCTTGGGCTATGAGCAGGTGAGAAGCAGCAGACAGTCAGTGTCAATGGTAGACGGTCTTTCCCAGTGGAAGTAGATCATGCTCAAGAGGTGAGCTAGGAGCAGGCAATTTTGTGGTGATGTCGTCTGTACTAAGATTCCATGATGTTGTTGTGTCTGACAAGTTGTATACCAGTGGTATACAATACTTATAAGATGAAGACATATGTAAAAACTGGGTATCTTTCCTTTACAGGTGTTTCGCCTTCCAGTGGCTTTGTCAGTACAATACATGGGCATAATCTGAAGTCTGAAAAAATATTCATTTTGTCGGCATTATGTATTACTGATATTCAGCTTGTTAAAACACAGCATCATGGAATAATGGGTAGTCTTCAGAATGGGTTGGACAAATGTACGTGAAATCTGAGTGGAGATCAGAAACAAGCGGTGTCTCACAATGATCAGATTTAGGCCCAGTGTTGTTCATGATATATATTACTGACTCTGACGAGGGAATAACAAACAATATGAGCAGATTCGCTGACGACACAAAAATAGGCAGAATAATAGATTCAGAGGAAGATACTATTGTATTTCAGGAGGATTTAGACAAGTTCATTTCCTGGTCAGAATAGTAACACACAGTTAAGTGTACATAAATGCATAAGTCTTATTGCTCGGGAATGTGAATATACTTAGCATTTATGAACTATATAATAGAGAAAATGGTAAATGAGACACTCGTGTAACACTTAGGTATCTTTATTCTGGGAACGTTTCGCCAGTCAGTAGCTTCTTCAGTTTATTACAGAGAAGAACGATGGAAGATGAGGAGGAGTTTCAGGTAATCTGTCCCTCAGCCTGGAGTCGATGTGTTCAGTCCAGTTCAGTTCAGTCCAGACTGAGGGACTAATTACCTCTTCCTCCTCATCTTCCACCGTCTTCTCTGCACTGGACTGAAGAAGGAAGTGGCTTTCTAAACGTTTCCAGAATAAATAAACCTCATTTATTTACTTATAGGGCTTTTGTGAGAAAACTAGACTATAGAACTAACAATGTCAGCTGATTAAGCTATCATGATTGTAACACTAAACTACAAGATTAACCTTCATCATTTAACTTCAGGTAAATATAATTACAATACAACTTGTGACAATGAGAAGTTAAAAAGGAGTAAAGACACAGACGAGTTTTGAGACTTTCTGATCGCGGTTTCAAATCCCACCCGTGATATGGTCTGGAGTCAGTGTGTTCAGTCCCTCAGTCTGGAGTCAGTATGTTCAGCCCCTCAGTCTGGAGTCAGTATGTTCAGCCCCTCAGTCTGGAGTCAGTATGTTCAGCCCCTCAGTCTGGAGTCAGTGTGTTCAGACCCTCAGTCTGGAGTCAGTGTGTTCAGTCCCTCAGTCTGGAGTCAGTGTGTTCAGACCCTCAGTCTGGAGTCAGTGTGTTCAGTCCCTCAGTCTGGAGTCAGTGTGTTCAGACGCTCAGTCTGGAGTCAGTGTGTTCAGACGCTCAGTCTGGAGTCAGTGTGTTCAGACCCTCAGTCTGGAGTCAGTGTGTTCTGTCCCTCAGTCTGGAGTCAGTGTGTTCAGACCCTCAGTCTGGAGTTAGTGTGTTCAGTCCCTCAGTCTGGAGTCAGTGTGTTCTGTCCCTCAGTCTGGAGTCAGTGTGTTCTGTCCCTCAGTCTGGAGTCAGTGTGTTCAGACCCTCATTCTGGAGTCAGTGTGTTCAGACCCTCAGTCTGGAGTCAGTGTGTTCAGTCCCTCAGTCTGGAGTCAGTGTGTTCTGTCCCTCAGTCTGGAGTCAGTGTGTTCTGTCCCTCAGTCTGGAGTCAGTGTGTTCAGACGCTCAGTCTGGAGTCAGTGTGTTCAGACCCTCAGTCTGGAGTCAGTGTGTTCAGACCCTCAGTCTGGAGTCAGTGTGTTCAGACCCTCAGTCTGGAGTCAGTGTGTTCAGACCCTCAGTCTGGAGTCAGTGTGTTCAGTCCCTCAGTCTGGAGTCAGTGTGTTCTGTCCCTCAGTCTGGAGTCAGTGTGTTCAGACACTCAGTCTGGAGTCAGTGTGTTAAGACGCTCAGTCTGGAGTCAGTGTGTTCAGACCCTCAGTCTGGAGTCAGTGTGTTCAGACCCTCAGTCGGGAGTCAGTGTGTTCAGACGCTCAGTCTGGAGTCAGTGTGTTCAGACCCTCAGTCTGGAGTCAGTGTGTTCAGACCCTCAGTCTGGAGTCAGTGTGTTCAGACCCTCAGTCTGGAGTCAGTGTGTTGAGACGCTCAGTCTGGAGTCAGTGTGTTCAGACGCTCAGTCTGGAGTCAGTGTGTTCAGACCCTCAGTCTGGAGTCAGTGTGTTCAGTCCCTCAGTCTGGAGTAAGTGTGTTCAGACGCTCAGTCTGGAGTCAGTGTGTTCAGACCCTCAGTCTGGAGTCAGTGTGTTCAGACCCTCAGTCTGGAGTCAGTGTGTTCAGACCCTCAGTCTGGAGTCAGTGTGTTCAGACCCTCAGTCTGGAGTCAGTGTGTTCAGACCCTCAGCCTGGAGTCAGTGTGTTCAGACGCTCAGTCTGGAGTCAGTGTGTTCAGACCCTCAGTCTCGAGTCAGTGTGTTCAGACGCTCAGTCTGGAGTCATTGTGTTCAGACCCTCAGTCTGGAGTCAGTGTGTTCAGACCCTCAGTCTGGAGTCAGTGTGTTCAGACCCTCAGTCTGGAGTCAGTGTGTTCAGACGCTCAGTCTGGAGTCAGTGTGTTCAGACGCTCAGTCTGGAGTCAGTGTGTTCAGACGCTCAGTCTGGAGTCAGTGTGTTCAGACGCTCAGTCTGGAGTCAGTGTGTTCAGACGCTCAGTCTGGAGTCAGTGTGTTCAGACGCTCAGTCTGGAGTCAGTGTGTTCAGACGCTCAGTCTGGAGTCAGTGTGTTCAGACGCTCAGTCTGGAGTCAGTGTGTTCAGACCCTCAGTCTGGAGTCAGTGTGTTCAGACCCTCAGTCTGGAGTCAGTGTGTTCAGGCCCTCAGTCTGGAGTCAGTGTGTTCAGACCCTCAGTCTGGAGTCAGTGTGTTCAGACCCTCAGTCTGGAGTCAGTGTGTTCAGACGCTCAGTCTGGAGTCAGTGTGTTCAGACGCTCAGTCTGGAGTCAGTGTGTTCAGACCCTCAGTCTGGAGTCAGTGTGTTCAGACCCTCAGTCTGGAGTCAGTGTGTTCAGACCCTCAGTCTGAGTCAGTGTGTTCAGACGCTCAGTCTGGAGTCAGTGTGTTCAGACCGCTCAGTCTGGAGTCAGTGTGTTCAGACGCTCAGTCTGGAGTCAGTGTGTTCAGACGCTCAGTCTGGAGTCAGTGTGTTCAGACGCTCAGTCTGGAGTCAGTGTTCAGACGCTCAGTCTGGAGTCAGTGTGTTCAGACGCTCAGTCTGGAGTCAGTGTGTTCAGACCCTCAGTCTGGAGTCAGTGTGTTCAGACCCTCAGTCTGGAGTCAGTGTGTTCAGACGCTCAGTCTGGAGTCAGTGTGTTCTGTCCCTCAGTCTGGAGTCAGTGTGTTCTGTCCCTCAGTTTGGAGTCAGTGTGTTCAGACCCTCAGTCTGGAGTCAGTGTGTTCAGACCCTCAGTCTGGAGTCAGTGTGTTCAGACCCTCAGTCTGGAGTCAGTGTGTTCAGACCCTCAGTCTGGAGTCAGTGCGTTCAGTCCCTCAGTCTGGAGTCAGTGCGTTCAGTCCATCAGTCTGGAGTCAGTGTGTTCAGACCCTCAGTCTGGAGTCAGTGTGTTCAGACCCTCAGTCTGGAGTCAGTGTGTTCAGTCCCTCAGTCTGGAGTCAGTGTGTTCAGTCCTTCAGTCTGGAGTCAGTGTGTTCAGTCCCTCAGTCTGGAGTCAGTGTGTTCA